TTTTAAAATGATCTTCAGTGAAATTTTACTTACTTGTGATATTAATAATATTGATTGATAATTTCCACTAGCCATTAGGAAAATGCAAATCAAACTCATAGTGAGATATCACTACATGCTTAACAGAATGGCTTAAAAAAATGCCTGCAAGGACAACACTGGATCACTCTTCTATTGCTGGTGGGAAAGTAAAACGGTACTGCATTAGCACTGGTGTAGTGGTTATCCCTTGGGCTGCCATCGGAATGGTCAGCAGTTCAAAACCACCATCAGCTCCAAGGGAGAAAGACTTGGCTTTCTACTCCCTTAAACAGTTACAGTCTTGGAAACCCATGGGGGCACGGTCACTAGGAGTCAGCATTGACTAGCAGGCAGTGAATTTGGTTTGGTTTGGGTTCACAAAAGGCTATGGATGACAGTGAGAGCCCCAAATCTATTTGCATGATCTTCACATGGATTAAGCCTCCATCCAATTTCTTATTAGCCTTGCCTTCAGACAGAGTGCATTGAAAAGTGAATACTTGTACCCTTTCCCCCCAGCACAGGGAGAGGCAGGCTCCTCTAGGGGCTTGTCTGGGTATGTCCTTGATGGAGATCATGGTACCGGGGGTGGCACAGTTATGAGTTATGCTCTGATTGCCTTGGTCGGAAGGCCCAGGACCAGTCTTGCAAACTCTTGTGTTTAACATAATTTTGCCGGCAAATAAGGCCCAGGATGTTCAGCTTATGACAGAGACCAGGTTGATTGGAGAAATTCTCTTTATTTCTACAAGCGCTTGGCAGAAGAAAATAGTGGGGTTTGCTACCTCTAAAACTGCTCAAAGATTCAGCAACAGTTAAGCCACGGACACACTCTAAACCCCCGGTAGGCAAACTGTGGCTCAGGAGTCATGCGTGGCTCTGAAGTAAAAGTGAAAATCATTTAAAGGCTGTTATTCAGATAATGGTGTGTTTGTAAAAGTATATTTATGGCTCTCAAATAATTTTTAAATTGCTGTGGGACAGGATTGGCTCTTCCATCTCAAAAGTTTGCAGAACCCTGCCCTAAACTTTGTGGCAAGTTTGAGGGTATGTTTAATAGGTTTGTTGCAATGAATGAAGGTCTTCAAGCAATGGGACAAAAAAGTCATGATTCACAGGGAACAGGAGGCATCCTTGGGCCTGTCACTCCCTAAGGTCTCAGGCTCCATCGATTATGTAAATGGACTTGCTTGTCCAGAAGGTTTTGTTTGCCCAAACTTGCTGAATTAGAACTTTCTTACTGATTACGTTTTAAAGGAATATTTTGTTCTGGCAAGGGTGAGGGTGGGGGGCGTGGGGGAGCTGTTACATTTTGGGTTTGAGCAAGCTAAGCTGTACAGACTAGGTTCCAAACTGTCCCATTTCCAATATTTGAATGGGTTTCCCGTTCGCCTGCTAACCACAAGGTCAGTATTTTGAATCCACCAGCAGCGAAAGGGAGAAAGACGCCAGTTTTCTATTCCCATCAGCAGCCACAACCTTGGAAACCCACTGGACCTGTTATGGCCTATCCGTGGAGTCGCTGTGGGTCGGAATCTGCGGGATGGCTAGGAGTTTGGTTGCGTAGATGATCAACACGTACATATCCCAATCCTGGTCCCAGTCCCGCTCCGGTGACGCACTGATATGCTTCGCCGGGAGCACAGCGCCCCCTGCCGCCGAGGTGACGCGCCGCCGCCGCGCGCAGC